CATATAAGCGGGAGATTTGGCTAGCCATAAAACAAGGTTCAACCCACCATTTTTTTTTTTAAAATGTCCTGTACCAAGTCAGGAATATGGCAGTTCTTATCAAACAGTCCGTTTCTATGTATGTTGGCGTTTAGTTTTGTTGCACTTCAGTGTTTCTGTTGTTCCGTTGTTTTCCAATTATAGTTGATGTGTTTCCCTTGGTTTAAGTTTGTAACCCGGATTTGTTTTCTCTCAATCGATTTATGACTTGTGAACAACGGTATACTACTGTTGCCTTTATCGCATCTGCTTCTCAATTTACGTATCGTTGCGAATGTACTGTTATTCCTTTTGTGAAAATAAGCAGATTTTGTATGATTTTCAAATTAAACAATTATCCAACAGAGACCAAGTGAAGGACGTCTATTCACAAATAAAGAAAAAACAACCTCTATATACTGTAAAATATAGGCATGGGGACTCGTTCTTCTGCATAAAAACAACATGATCAACAAATCCTGCAATCAATATGAAAATTAGAAAATGTGTTATGGTTGCTTACGAAAAAAGTATCAACCAGAGTACTTCGGACGTACTTATGCCGCTATACTTATGTAATACACTTATTTCTTTTTTTGCCTGTTTGTGTATGTGAATGTGTATTCTCTAGACAACTCTTAGACAAAACAGCATTGATTATTATTGAGACCTCTCACATAACATATAATAAAAAGAATGTTTTGTATGATTGTCAATAACCACTATTCACCATAGTCATAATGACGTAATTATCAAGGTATTATGACGGAATATCTTTATCTTTATCTATGCATGTATTTCTCTATGAAACCTCGAACTAAGAATAAATGAAAAAACCGTTGTTTTTACTGATGCCTCTAACACGAAGTACATGTGATATCTATAAGTTGAAACTGATAACTCTAAAATAGTGCATAGTAATCTGGAACACGTGTATGTCAAAAAATCATCTTCCTACACACATTAAAAGTATCTAACAAACCATGAAGAGTGGCTATTTTTTAAAATGTTATCAATTCTATCGTTATTTTCAATATCTTTATTGACACGTGCCAAACTGCATGTTTTATATAACCAACTTTACATCAGGTGTGGCGTCTTCCAATCAGAATAACGCATCCAAGTGTACTAATTATCAATATGATCTGTTGTTATTGAATGATGGCATGTAAATAGGCTTGTTTTTAATTCTATTCCGATGAATTTATTTAAAGGGACAACGTATAATTTGCTTTGAGATAAAATATAAATTTAAAGGAATCTATAGTCTTTACCTTTTTTTTCCAGACGGCTTTGAATTGATTATGCAATCAACATACTTTTTTTTCTTCTACTACTACCTTAATTGTTGAAGTTGAATGGTTATGTAGCCAATATTAGTTCAAGATGGAAACTTATCGAGTCGGTAGTTATTTAATGAAGGGTAAGGGAAAAGATGAAAATTTGATCTGAAAACGAACGGGTGATTTCAAAATTGTCGCAATGTGAGCTACTTTTATTAGTTATACTGATATAACAGATAATGCTTAACATACACCAATCGGTGTGTTGTTGCCGTTAGCAACACGACTGGTGTCATTACTGGAACAGGATCTACACACCTGTCTTGGGCGAATGAGTTTCCCACGTCGTATTGTGGGGTTGGTGTTGGTCTCTATATTTTGTGTGGTGTTTCGAAGACTTGTTTGTCTTCTTGTTGTTTTGTATAGTTCATTGTGATCTTCGTCCAATTGAAAGTTCCATTGTAATCTCGTGCCTCTTTTCTTCTTCCTGTATGTGTGATCCATTTGTCGGCACATGATATGTATTCAGATATTAAAACGATAAACGCGCTAATAATCGAATATGAAGTCGGTGAACATTTAAAACAGCAACTCAATAAAACAAGCAACCAAAAGACATTCACGGGTCATCCCAGAAAATATAAGTTCTATTCTAACTGTTCAGATAGTTGCAGTTTTGAGATGCACGTATTACCGTAAACTGTCGGATTTCAATTATCATGGAATATTCATCTCCTGAAACATTTTTGGCAAAATGGTACAGATTTCAATAATGGTCAAAGATTTTGTTAAATTTACTATCAATTGTTTGAATTCACTGGTGAAGTCCTATAACCCATCTAAGTATTTTAAGGATATATCACTAAAGTTTTCTATAGAATGTAATTCATAACAAAGAAAGTATATTAGGTTTCCCTCAAATAGTTATGTTTGCCTTAATGTTTCTTAAACTATTAAAATCAATGTAAAATTATTGCCTGTTGGACTGGAATTATTTTCGATTCGCATAAGTAAAAATAAAAATGAACAAGCTCGTCTGTTATCTTTTTCATATTAGAATTACATTCAAACTCTAAACAACATTTTTCTCCCGTAATGTGAATAAAGTTACTGTGATTAATGTTCTCGAAACTACAGTGGACAGTATTAGAGAACATGCAAGCATGGTTCCGTATCAGCAAAATTGAAAATTTGACAGTGTATTCGGTTACTACGACCAATCGTTGTTCAGTAACGATTTATTTGTTCCCGTGTTGCTGTGAGCGTTCCTGACTATGAAAAAATTAAAAGGGATTTGAAAAAAAATTACAACAATATGTCAATGTGAAGTAGTAAATGCATGTGTTTATTTAACACTTAAACTAAAAACATTGTTTTCAATTATATATTTTACTAGGACGCCACAATCTGCTCAAAGGTAATAGTGTATGCAGCTATGAAATAAATATAATGCCCTATCATGTAGACATTAAAGATGTAATATTAAAAAAATACAAAGAAGCATAAATATAAAAAAAGAAGATGTGGTATGATTGCCAATGAGACAACTCTTCACAAGAGACCAAATGACACAGAAATTAACAACTATAGGTCATCGTACGGCCTTCAACAATGAGCAAAGCCCATACCGCATATTCAGCTAAAAAAAAACCCAAAATGACAAATGTTAAACAATTCAAACGAGAAAACTAACGGCCTAATTAATGAACAAAATAATGAAAGAAAAACAAATATTTAACACAGCAAGAAACGACAACCACTGAGTTACTGGCTCCTGACTTGAGACAGGCACATACATACAGAATGTGGCGGGGTTAAACATGTCAGCGGGCGCCCAACCCTCCCCTAACCTGGGACAGTGGTGTTTCAGTACAACATAATAACAAACTATAAAAATCAGTTGAAAAGGCTTAACTCATCAGATGGATACAAATAGAAATACATCAAACAAACACACAGAGTGAACGTGGCCGGGTATTTGTACATCCCAACAACAAAAAGACACTAAGTACAGATCTGAGAGTACTCACAGTTACTGACAGCTAGTTCAAAGCCAATAACAACTAATAAAAAAAATCATGCATCTAAGACTAAATTATCAATCATCAACATCCAACATCCAATGGATTTAGTGTGAAGATGTCATAAACAGTCAGAGAAAAACATGACCTTGTGCAATGCCAATATACAGGTATCGACAGATTGTAGAGCCATGAATGTGCATATGCATAAAACAATAATATTTAGTTTGCTTTTCATTTACTGATAACAAAATCAATATTAATACCAATAAAAACAATATTCAAAGATCTAAGTACAGTGTTGAATTGGTAATCTTTTAGAAGAAGTTTATTTAAAAGATCGATAAGTTTACCAGGATCGTTTCCAAATTTCCGGGCACTGCAAACAACATTTTCGTAAAAATGAGGATACAACCAAACTTCAAAACCAAATCTTTATATTTTTGGAAGAATTTAGTAAAGTAATTTGTGGTAACGAAATCCCTGACTTAATAATTTACCAGTAATACATAGATTACGTTCATTAAAATGAAAAACGTCACAACAGACACGGGCATAGCGAACGAGTTGTGATGTATAAACACCGTAAGATGGTGGCAAAGGAACATCACCATCCAAAAAAGGAAAATTAACAATAGGGAACAAAAAATCGTCCCTTTTGTCGTAAATTTTAGTGTGGAGTTTCCCGTGTAAAACTGTTATATCTAAATCTAGGAAAGGACAGTTATTACCGTTTACATTTGATTTATTTAAAGTAAGTTCCTGTGGGTAAATTTCGGCAGTATATTTAGAAATTCTTGATTATTTAACGAAAAAATATCACCAAGATAACGGTAAGTGTTGTTGGATTTATCAATTAAATACAATTTAGACGGGAGTTTGGTCATAAACTGTGATTTATAACAGTATAAGAACAAGTCTGCTATTAAAAGGGGGCAATTAGTGCCCATAGGAATACCTACAACCTGTCGATAAAATTTGTTGCCGAAACGTACATAAATATTATCAAGGAAAAAATTCACAGCTTCAATCATCTCATCACACCTCCTGTAAATATATCTATCATATTTACCTTTCTCGTTAGATAAGAAGGCTTTAAATGAGTTGCAGCAAATATATTTGCATTCAGATTTACCAAACGACCATTTAATTAAATAGGAAACATTTTGTTTGATAAGATTGTGTGAAAGTGTAGTGTAAAGAGTTGAAAAGTCAAAACTGTCAACAGAATCAAAAGGACCATTAAAAGCACGTAATTTATCTAAAACATCCAAAAATTTGTTCACACTCCAAAAATAGTGAATGCCACTAATTTCATATGTTGTATTACAAAAGTTAATGATAATTTCTTTGATAGTAGTTAGGGAACTTGTTAAAAGCACTGAAAGATTAGTTGTAGAACACTTACTAGCGGCCGAGATGAAACGATATTTTACTGGATTTTTGTGTTGTTTAGGTAACCAATACATAGTAGGGACCTTCAAATGTTCAGAAGAGCCCTTAAGCTGTGATGTGGTTATGATATGTTTGTTAACTATATGACTCTCTGTGGAGCGCACGGACTTGAATGTAGATGAATTTAAAATTTCATTCTTAAGAACGTCCGTGTAGTATGTACGGCATACCACCACCACATTGTTGGCTGTTTTGTCGGCCGATACAAACACAAACCACTATGCAAGTTCTTGAAGTTCATTTCTTATTCTAGAAATAAAAGTCTGTTTATTTTTTTTATAAATCCTGGCATATGGTATTTTTATACAGTAAGTAAAAGCATTATTAATACAACACAGGCAATTTATTCGCCTTCAATCTGAAAATGCAATGTTGCTTTATGTTAGATTAGCTATAGTAGGACAAAATCGTACACAGGAAAGATAAAGAAAGAAATGTATTGGTCTCATAAATTCTCGTCTAGTGTTCTGTATATTAGGAAGCTTCCAGCCTTTTAATGGCGAGGATCTATAAAAAGTTCTCACTACAACGATGAAGCTGATATAAGACTTCAAAGAGTTTTGATTTCCTTGTTTCTGCTGAAAGACATACATAATCAAATTTTAACGCTTCATTATAACATTGATAAGCTGTTTCTTTGTCATCCGATATCTCATAACATACTCCAAGTATTGTTAATAAATCAGATAATTCTTTCATTTTAATTAAAATGCATTTTTTTACAGTAAAATCTAAATCACGTAGTGCCTGTTCTTTGTTTAAATGATCACCCAAATGATGATAACATAAAAATCTAAGACAGTGAGACATAAAAATAGGAGGTATGTCTATATCTCCTTTTTCAACCTCCAACTGTAGTTCTAATGGTATAAACGATGAGTTTTTCACGTAGGTAACACATTTTACCGTGGCATTTTTTATCCTGGCATTTAAGGTTACTGAGTTACAAACATTTTGTCTGTAATTATTTATGTCTTCTTCATCATAGGTTGGACAACTTATATATACCATGTCTGATGTACTTCTTGATAGAACATAATCCGTTAGTCTCAGTGTTACCGTGTAATGTCCTATCACATAATAAAGAGACGCGTATAACAACCAACCCGACACGGCATCTGTCTTTAAGCCGTCTTGTAAATGTCTTTGGTAACGTTTGTGCATGTTGTAAGTAACACCAGTTGTGTTTGCTGAAGGAAGTAGCTGTGCTGCGCATTGGCTTATCTTAGCATAATGATATTTACAAACATCAATTATAAATGCAGACGATTCGGACTTAATTATAGATTCAGTTAATGTAAGTGCTTTGTAACAATCTGAAATGTTTGTCTCAGTCGCTATTTGATAAATCCGGAAATATAGGATATCTAACAAATTGAACGAATTTGCACTCTTTGTACGTAATAAATGATAATTCCCACTTTCAAATGGAAATATTTTTGTTATCAATCCATCAATTTTACCAAGTAATATGCTATTCAGTACTTGTAATAGTAGTTCATTATTATCAGTGGTTATCTTTCCTAGGAACATGTTGTGCTCAGGTATAAAGTAGTTCGGACAGTAACAGTTGTGTACCCATAACATTAATTTATTTAGGCAGAGAGAAAGACAAAAATATAATTTGGGTAATTGAAATGTGTTAATATTCATTTCCTCCGAAACCCAGAATACAGCCGTTTTAAGAAAGTAAGAACACAACAAATCTTTGACATCCTCGTTTGTGTTTATACTACTCTTCAAAATTAATTTCAGAAGACCGTAACATAGGAGTTGAGTAAAATTAAACGAATGAACAAGTTGCTTTTCTGCAACAGAAAAAGAGAATCTCCATAATAAGTGACTATCTGAAATATTCTTTGGTCCAATAGGTACTAACAAACATCCGTAGTTAAAAATCCTATCAATTACATTATAAGTTGGCCATTGGTTTCTGTGACGGTATGACCATGGAATGGCTTGATAAAGGAAATATGTACTTTTTAAGCAAATGGCAATATCTACAGCCTGGTCCTCGGTTGACAGACACGGGCTGTGTAAATATGTATCCGGTATTGCCTTACTAGCCTCATCAATAAAACCATTTACTGATAAATATGCACCGTTTCTAGTACTTTCAACGCATTTAGATGTTAAACCTCTGGATTCTACATCATCTTCTGCTAATAATCTGAGTTTAGTAAATCCAGGATGGTCAGTATCTGACTCCATAACCAGTGTAGTATATCGAATTGGGTGTTTGATATTCCGTATATTGCGTAGCACTCTGACATTGTATTTGACGAACATTACATCTTGGTCACTGCCTGGTAAATCTAGCCCTTCTGCTAAACTTCCACTTGAAATTCGTGTTCCATCAGGCAAATCAACATTGTTGATCATATCCGTAACAATGAATAATCGTTGTCTAGTACGGATATCTATTTCAGTACCAACTGTGTTTACAAGGTGTTCGTATAAGTATTTTTCCTTGAAGGCATTGCAAGGCCACAGTAAGTGATCTATAACAAATAATCATCTTAAACTTTAAAATGACGTTCATAATAGAAAGTTATCTTACCGAGATTTATTACAAATAATAGATTTAATTAGAGCGCAAATAATTAGTCACATGTAGCTTTGTGGATTGTTAGACATGCGCCGTAAATGATATTAAAACCAATAAAAAAAATATCAATCATACTTTTTATTTCGTCTAAAGGCGAATTATCGGTTAAGTATTCAACACTATTGCAATAACTTGACCATGAAAATAAAAATAAAAAAATTCTGTTTTTTTTGCAGTAAATTAACTACTATAAAACATTAAGATTATTTGAACATGTTGAAAGGTCGTTTTTACTTAGAAAATATTACCTTAGCCAGATTTAAAAAAAAAATGAAAATAATGGTTTCCAATGCTTTCTATCAATCCAATTTGTTTGGCCTATCAACATGTATAATATAATTCCAGTACTACTTAGAAGTATTTTATAGTCAAGCCCTTCGTCATGCTTTCTTTGTAATTATCATGATTTTTTGAGACTTGTTGTGTGCTCTATGATGTTTATTTGGATTGATTGCCCTCAAATATTTTTGTTCTCACAAATATGGTCTCGATTACACTGCATTTTCTGCAATTCATGACATTTTCCAAATACATTTTTATAACTTTATTGGTATCATTATTTTGTCAAAATTACGTATTGTCTTATTAACGAATACTATACTATTGCTTTAGATTTGATGTCCATTTTTATCTTGTTTGTACTACACTTGAAATTTAATATTTTTCTCTTTCTATAAACATATTTCAACGTGTAAAAAGTAAAATCACAAAAATACTGAACTCCGAGGAAAATTCAAAAAGGAAAGTCCCCAATCAAATGGCAAAATCAAAAGTTCAAACTCATCAAACGAATGGATAACAACTGTCATATTCTTGACTTGGTACAGGCATTTTCTTGGTGGATTGAACCTGGTTTTATTGCTAGCTAAACCCTTCACTTGTATGACAGTCGCATTAAATTCAAATATTGACAACGATGCGTGAACAAAAACAGTTTTCACTTTACAGACATTACTTGTATAATCAAGTAAGATCGTCCCACCTACTGGTCGTCGATTGGGATAAAATAATGCGACTTTTTATCACATGTTTGTGCCATGAGAAGTATGCAAAAATTTGGTTTTGAATTCATTGAAGTACTTTTTTTATTATAATTTTTCGTATTAAATTTTGTTACATGAAGATGTAGTAATATCTGACTTAGTTTCTTATACTTCCGACATGACAAAGTAATTACCATTACTGTAGCCTGTACAATTCTGCAAGTATTCCAGGTATTCATTAGAAGATTTGTCAGGATATCTAAGGTTTAGTATCCACTGTTCTTGTTTTTTCCTTCGTTCTAAACAATTTTTATACATTTCTTCAAATTGTCTGATTGTCAATCCGAAAACGTCATTTGAGATGATTATCCCTCCGTCGAAAGATTGGCAAATGAATGGTGTATAGCGGCGCTTTCCACGATAAGGAAAACGGCGAATGCCATATTTTTCCCAATAAGTTATTTTCCGTATTCCATACATAATCTGATGGTCGTCATTGTCTTGGTTTCTGTAGTGTCTGTCCATCGTGATTCTAGAAATATAAATTATTAAATTTATACCATTATAAAATTAATATATGAAACAGTCGAAAGTGAAGTCATGTACTGATATTGACGTAATTGTCTGAGTAAAAATCAGAAAATAAAATTTTTTGATAATTGCAATCGAATGAACTATGTGTCTTTTACAAGTTCAACGCTCATATTGCCCTTGTTAGTCTAACATGGTAAAATTGCAAATGACGGAATGACAAATTGGACAAGTAAGATATATAACAGAGTAAATATCTTATTGTTTAAATCACATATTTTAATCGCAGAGCATACAAAACACTAACACATTGTATTTTGTTGTTACTAAACACATTGTTCTCCAGAAGTAACACATTACAATTTATCTACGCTTTGTATCAATTATAGAAACAGGCAACTAAATATGCCGTATACTGTAAAAGAGAGACGAAAGATAAAAGAGGGATATTCAAACTCAGAAGTCGAAAATAGACTGAAAACGCCATGGGTGAAAAAGAACGAACAAACAAACAATAGTACACAAAACACAACATAGAAAACTAAAGACTGAGCAACACGAACCCCACCAAAACCTGGGGATGATCTCGGGTGCTCCGGAAGGGTAAACAGTTCCTGCTCCAAATTACGCCTTATTATGTTAAGGTAGGTGTTGGTTTTAGTTACTAGTTTATCGGAAGATGGCTTGTTTTAAGTAACTTATATATCTACTTAGGTAGATATTTAGGTTTAAAAACTGGCAAATATGTACATGTCTCGGTTTTGGTTACTGGTGTGTAGGTAGATGGCTCGGTTGTGGTTACTGGCATGTGGGTAAAGTGACTCGGTTTAAATGCTCCTATTATAGAGGATGGTTTAATATGCAGTCTGCAGCTTGATAATGTGGAGCTGAAGCGAGTAAGCAATTTCACATACACCGTGTAGCCTCATCCTATTTGCCGAAAGTTAAGAAAAATAATTCTGCTAAAACAATTATGGTTGGATTTCTGTCTCTTTGATGTATATTCTACATTCGTTAACATGCATAGAATATTAAAAACACTTTTAGATATTTGGATGATATATTGGCTCTCAATAATGACGACTTCAGTATGTACATTATAGAGATTTATCCTGCTGAATTGACTTTAAATAAAGCTAATACTAACAATGAACATTGCCCTTTCCTGGATCTCGATACCTATATCTTAAACGGGAGCTTAATACCAAAATTTATGATAAAAGAGATGATTGTTCATTTTCTATTGTTAATTATTCATTTTTAGATGGTGACGTTCTCTTGTCACCATCTTCTGGTATTTTTATATCTCAACTTGTTCGATTCGCTCGTGTATGTAACAACGTATTTGATTTTAACGAAAGAAATCTTTGTACTACTGAAAAATTATTACACCAGGGTTTTTGATATCACAAACTAGTAAAAACATTTACTAAATTTTATCATCGGTACAAGGACATCATTCGTAAATATAAATTAACATGCAGACATCTTATACGTTTAGGTATTTCACGTCCAATCTTTTATGGTGATATTCTATGCAAGGCACAAAAAATGTCGGCATTCACCTCAAAAGCTAACCAAAACTTTTAACAGACATATTCAGAAGAGATATAGTTACGATACGATACTCAGGTCATTGAAGATGGCATGTTTTGGTATTAATATTGATTCACTTAAAGGGTGCATCGGAAATAAACACATTTATTCCAAAACCAGTTGTTGGCATGATACGGGTTATGTTCTTCTCATATATTTTATGATGATATGATACTAAACCCCTAACGGGAGGGATTGTGCTTGATTTTCATATGATGAAGACATAATCTTTCAATCAGTGTAATTGAGATCTGGAGCTGGCATGTCAGTAACTGCTAGTAGTCCTTTGTTAATTTATGTATCATTGTCATTTTGCTTAGTTTCGTGTGTTACCTTTTCTGACATCGGATTCGGACTTCTTTTAAACTGAGTTTTACTGTTTGTATTGCTTTTTGTTTGTTCTTTCTACATTGGCTAGAGGTATAGGAGAGGGTTGAGATCTCACAAAACATGTTTAACCCCTCCGCATTTTTGCGCCTGTCCCAAATCAGGAGCATCTGGCCTTTGTTATTCTTGTATGTTTTTTTAATTTTAGATCATGTATATGTTTTGGAGTTTAGTGTGACGTTAATTCTCACTGAACTAGTACACATTTTTGTTTAGGAGCCAGCTGAAGCCCGCCTCTGGGTGTGGGATTTTTTTTTTGCTGTGTTGCAGACTCATTGGTGGCCTTGAGCTGTTTTCTGCTCTTTGGTCGGGTTGTTGTCTCTTTGACACATTCCTCATTTCCATTTTCAGTTTTAATTGGTATATTTTCATGGGATCTCATATCGAATGTCTCTAAAAAAAACACTAACAATGATCGTTCAAATTATGATTGGTAAATTCAGTCAACAAAAATTCAGAATAATAAGCTTGAGGTCCACGTTTTTTAAACAACCATTTACCAACTTTTGATATCGTAGTATTTCATTCATAGAATTAGTATATTAGTTATCACTCTTACCTGCGCTTGTATTGGTTCTTTTCTAATCTCTAAAAAAAAAAAAGTAAATAACAAGGGCTTTTCATGTAATTTGGAAAATGTAGTTTGGAATTACAAATCATCTATGATATAACCATAGTAACGGCTGATCAACTGTCTATATAGAGACGTCTCTCGATTTGAATGGTGTTATACACTTACCCTTCTGGTATAAAACCAACCACTAATTCATTACCCCATTACTTTCTATGCAATTTCAAGCATTAATGGCTACTTTGTCTAAAGTTCAAATAAAGTGGCAGTTATTTTTCATGTCAAAACTATACCTTATCCTGACTTGTGCTGAAAAGTCCAACATACCTTTAAATTCATATTAGAGCGTACTGGTTTCCGGAAGTTTGATAGTACAAAAAAGGCACTTCTGATCTGAACAACAGGGAAAATGTGTCCTCCTATTAAAATTTTATATACTTATTTATTATTCAAAAGAAACTTTCAACAAGGGTTTGTCAGTGATCCCAAGTCCCCAAGCTTTCATTTGATACCATAACTATCCAAATATTTCACCTACTGACAAAGATACAGCTATGCGTAGGAACTATTTTGTTTAAAATACGTACTACTTTCTTGTATGTTCTTTCCGATCGGGCCTGAATTAGTGGTTTCATACCTTACCAGTTCAGTCTAGTTCATGGTCAACTTTTATGTTACCTATAGCTACTTTTATCTACTAGGAAGTAAAGATAACTAAAGATACACGTAGAGTTGTTTATAAGTGGGGAGCTATGGGAACATAGTTTCATATTTCTGTTTTGTTTTGTGATATATTTGATGAGTTGTTTAAACAAAAGCG